GGCAAGCGCGGGAAGGACAAGCTGGAGCAAAAGGGGTGGGAGCATGGGTGAGGAAAGGGGGGTACGGGACAAGATGACGAACCCTGCCAACCCGACCGATATGAGTGGGGACCCTGGCAGGCCTGCCCGATCCCCAAGACAAACCTTTTGTGGCATAAGCCTCAACTCTCTTCTGGCTGGGATTCATACCCTCATGCATGAGTCCCTGCCCTTATTTCCAATCTCACTGTAAGGACTGAGGTAGTAGTTCATCCATTCATACTCATCATTCATCATCTGTGATTACGAAAACACACGGGCTCCAGGAGCTTCCTGCTATTTCAGAAGAACAAACGCTCTTCTTCTGTCGGTCCATATCCAACCATCGGAGGCCATCAGCAATGGTGCCCGCAGACCATGCAGGGCTAAGGCTCTGACCCATCCACCAGACCCCTTGGGTGCGTGGCCTCTCCCATATCCTGTACCCTCACCGAGATGTAACCAAAGGAAAGAAACAGGGAGTTTCGGCTGGTTTTACTCTACTTCTGAATACGAGAGAAACATGCTGCACCTAAACCATTGAGTATCTGGAAGGAAAATGGCTTTTACATCCCCTGGCGTTGAGGATTCTCTTCAATCTTCCTACAGTGTCCTGTCAGGCAGAGCTGTTTTCCTTCTATTGGGCTTTCAACAAACAGGCAAAACAGTTGTGTGGTTAGAATGGCAAAGCCACTAGGCTCTCCCTCACGAACAGGGAAAGGAAAGGAGACCTCGCCCCAAGAGAGGGGGAGTAGAGTTGCCTAAAGGCGCCAGTCAGCTCCACCTGGGGCTCAGTTAGGCTTGGCGCCCTCTGGGGCTGAGGTAGTTAGTAGCACTGATGGTTCCCAGTTTGGCAGAGGGTGTCTGGAAAGGGAGGAGGGGAAGGCACCCTTGAGAGCTAACTGAGGCCCCTCCTCACTGCCAGTCTGCCAGGCCTGAAGGGAATTCCACGGTGCCATCTCTGCAGTGGGGACAGGGGAAAGCAGTCCCACGAGGAGCTGGAAAGAGTCCCTCCTTCCCCAAAGTGCAACAGGGAGTCAAAGGACCCCTTTTTTCCTGCTCCCTAGCCCTTGGCAAGCACCACTCCCAAATCCCCCAGGAGCTTAAGAGTGGGTCCTTGTCTTTAGTGTACACTGTCTCCAGGCCCCTCCCCCTTGCAAACAGGCCTAGGAGATGTAGAAAGATGGCCGGCCACTGCTTTTGTCTCAGAAACAGTCTCTCAGCCTCTGTCTGTCTGTCTGTCTTTGGCACAAAGGAAAACGGACATACAGAACCAACCGGAGCATCCTACTCCAGTGTCCTCTGGGTTTTACATGGGGTCTCTCCAGCCAACAGTGAGGCTTGAGTTTTCCCCAAGAGTGGAGAGCTCGGGGAGAAAATGGAAAACAGAAAGGACTAGAGAGGAGCCAAGGCCACACAACTGCCCTGTCCTCAACTAGGCTCTCTCCTGCCTTGGTCCCTTCAACACTGAGTCTAGAACTCAGCTGCAAAGGCAACCAGACCCCAAAGGTGGTTTAAGCCCCCACGCTGTGAGCGGCAGGCACAGTTCTAAAGTCAGTGAATCAAACCATTTGGCTTTTTATGTGTTTCAAAGAATTGAAAAGAAAAAAAATCCTAAAGAGATGGTCGTTTCATAAAAACACACGTGTAGCATACATACACCTCTTTATACACACCTTAGGGCGTGGGAGCATTTGTTTTAAGTTGCTTTTCTCAATACCATCCAAATCTCCCAAGTGCTTATTGTAATAGTTGCTTTCTTACCTAGGATGGGGGGAAAGAGGTGATGAGCAGGGCAAAGGGGCTAAGATCTGGCCCTTGGGTCACAGGACAACCCTAGACAGACCAGGCTTCTCCTTTCTGCTGACCTCTGACCCCAAATCAATCTTTCTAGTAAGCCAACTTTCACAATCTTTCTGCTGGACAAGTCTGGCCACAAGGGGAACTTTGCCCAATCCATGTAAGTTTTCAGGTCCCTGCCATACTTTCTGATCTCTTCTGGGGGCTCAATCAGTCAAAGGAAGAGGACTTGGGCTGAAAAAGTGTGAAGGGAGCAGGCCCCCAAGGAATGGAACACCCCAACAATCTCATTTCAGATACTGTGGGATCCCCCCTTCCACCCATGATCATTTGAGCCGGTATCAAAGCATGCTTGCTGCAAGAAATCCACTTTAAATCACTAAACGGCCAATGTCTGAACATTGTTTGCTTCGTTTGGAGACGAAGCCTGTAGAGCCAGACGGGAAATTGGGAGACCCTTTGTGTCTGGGACAGGCCTGTTACCATCCAAAAGACTTTCCTGCTTCTCCTCTTTGGACTAGATGGTTCGAGGGCTATGAGGGGTTGTCACAGGGGCCATGTGGTAAGATCGTACCAAAGCAAAACTCTGTCCCAATCATGTTCATCATCTTCCCTCCCTCTTGGCTGCCCACCACCCTAAATCGAGAATTTCTACCTAATAGGTCCAACCAAACCAAGCTAAGGAGACAAGGAGGTGGGGGAGAGCAGTCCTTGTCGACTTGCTTGCCTTGCAGTCTATGAATGATACAGACTAAGAACAGCAAGGTGGGATGGAAATGAAACAATAACCAAAAAATAAATACGGAAAGCGCTGCATTGAGAAACCAGGACGGTCCCTCGAGGGGGAGAGGCTGGCCTTGTCTTTCTCCCATAAGCGGAATCTTGGCTCCCATATGTTTTAAGAAATACAGGTTTTCTTAAAAAGTTATATTTTTTAGTTATTCTTTCTCTCCTCGATAAAACGGAGGCAATATCTTAAAATAACAGCACCACTGGTGGGAAAACCCAGCTGAGACCCTGTTTCACCACAGGAGGAGAGGGAGGGGTGCCCACAGGCCATCTGGTTAGTGGGCACTGACTGCTGTTTGGTCCCCAGGGGTCCAAGCTCTGCTAGATTTTATCTCCTACTTCAAGGCCCTGGACCCCTTTGGGGTTATCCACTCCTCCCCTGGATCCAGCCCCCAGTACCCACCTTTCCCCACAGGGCCTGTTCTCCAGAGAGCTCCTAAAGAGTTACTGGCTCATGTAAGAAATTATGAAACATAACTTTCTCATTTTTTCTTTTCATTAAAAAAATAAAATATTCAAGACTATCAGCTTCTCTTTTGCTTTTTCTTTTTTTATATAAAATATCAGCAAGCCGCAAAGAAAAAAAATCAAAAAGAAAAAAAGGGAAATTAAAAACCGGGGTTTAGGGGAACAAAAAGAAATCATTGCTGAGGTAACGTCACACCTTGAGGTAGTTTACTTAGCACAGCACTGCCTGACTCCGCCCACACATCACGGTTGCTCGTCACTGTTGTCCTATCAGGAAGAGGGGGGCTCTGCAGGGGCTTTCCCAGTGCAGAGAGGCCTTCCTTTCTTCCCAGCACACTTGATAGTATTGCCCAGGGTAGCTAAAGTGCATCACCTGGCAAATATGCGTTACAATCAGTACAGTATTAGGAGGGGAGGCCTAGCCTCACTTAACCGATGGCCACTGTCCTCCATAAGGGCTAAACTTCCAACAGGATCTTATTGAGCCTGGTAAATTAATAAATTAAGTGTGTTCACCCCTTTGTGCACAATGCTGCTGGTATTCTGAAGTTTGTTCTCAGGCATGCCTTTCATAATAACAATCGACAATTCATGGAGACGTGAGCAGTCAGTCAAATACTCCTCTACAATAAAAACAGAAGCATATTCTGTAATTGACTAAGTCTGCCAGATGAAGGACTTTAAGCTTTATCAGGAGCTCAAGGTTGGGTTGTAGTCCCACTGCCACAAGGAAACAGTGCCGTGGCAGGGACCACAATGCCTGCCTCAGCCCTTGTAAGAGCACACGGGTAGAGCGAGAGCACCTTTGGGCCACTCAACTCCTCCATGGAACTGAGACGCTATCAAAGGGAGCACACACCCCCTTTCCCAGAGCTCATATATCCAATCATTAAAATAGACTTTAAAAAAAATATATAAAATCCGCCTGAGAATGATAGGAATCAGGGACAGTGATTAGCCCACACCCTGCTGAGCACGCGGTACCACCCATGTGTACCAGGGCACCATGCAGGACCCACAGGGTTAGATGGGCATAAACGTAGTGGGGAATCTTGTGGGGAAGCCCCCGCTAACCAGGGGAAATTTCTGTTGTGCCAATTTTTCTAGATGGCGATCTGTAATAGCTCACCCACGAGGGTGTGCTATGTTTTTCTTTTTGTGATGCCAAGGATGGAAACCAGGGCCTTGAACATGCCAGGCAAGTATGCTGACCACTGGGCTCTATCCTCAGCCCAAGGACTCCTTTTAAACGTGGATCAGTATATCTTAATCATTATCTCTCTCCTTTCTATCCTGCTGTTTCCATTGGTTGGTTGAGGATCAGGCGCTCTCCAGCGTTAATATTGTAAACAAAGCTGTGCTCCAGCCCCCACCCCACCCCACAGTAGCAAGGCTGGGACAGTGTAAATGAATACGGGAAGCGGCAAGATATTGGTCAAGACATTGAGAGTGGGAGAAATTTTCATCAATTAACCAAGAAGTCAAGTTAGAAAGATTATGGGGTCAAGAAACAAACCATCCTTTGAGGTTTAATAAAACCTGAAGGAAATTTTATTTCTCTTCCCCACTGGGAGCCGACCCATCTTCCTGATGGAGGCTGGAGAACTTCCTCAAACAATCCACGTTTAAAAGCAACCCAAGCTACAAGGGGGGAGGCCTTGGTGGCCACCAGCTACAATTGCAAGGGTGGCACTCCAAGGGGTGGACCATGGTGATCACCTGGCTGAACTGGGGGCGAGAGATCAGGATTCCTCACTGGGACATTTTTCTCAAGACAGTGGGCAAACCTGATCTCCAGCCAAGCCCAAAGCCCCTGATTCCCACTCATTCTCAGGCCTGCTGGGAAAAGCGCACTGGCCCTCCACACTCCAGTTCCGCGTCCTGCCTGCTGATCTGGAGCCATCGGGACAGGAAGGGGCGGTCGGTCACTTCCTCCGTGCCTGGGCCTGGTTGCTCTGTCCCTTCTGGTGCTGTTGCTTAACCTGAGCCAGGATGTCTCGGATCTTCCGCTGAGCCATCTGCATTGAAAACAGGCAAGGAAAGGGAGGATGAGGCCCTCCAAGGAGAGGCTTTGCAAATGGGAAAGACCCGAGGAAGGGCAGGAGGAAGGGAGAGGGCTCATTGGCATTGGTGGTTTCACGTAGATTTCCAGTGCCTTCTTTTGCTGAAACGCAGTGCCAATGCACCTGGCACCGGTGAGCAGAGATCTACTTCCATTCTTACGGCCTTATTTCCCTCATCTGAATCATGGGTTCTTGTGGGGCTTGAACGATTTACTAGACACAAAGCTTGTGAGACAATGCTGGGCCCAGCAAAAATCTTAGTTATCATTCCCATGGTTCTCACTGCTTCTCAAAGACCTTAGTAGAAAGCTACCAACACCAGGGGGCACAGCAGGGAGGGTGTTCTGTGGAGTCGGCTGAAAGCTTGAGTCTCCAAACCACACAATCAGTCCTTAGGGCCACAGCTCACTGATAAAGATGCAACACTGGGCTGATGGTTGAGGGTTTAAGCCCTTTGTTGCCAAGCAGTGGTGGCACACGCCTTTAACCCCAGCACTTGGGAGGCAAGAGGCAAGCAAATTTCTGTGAGTTTGAGGCCAACCTGGTCTACAGAGCTATGTTCCAGGACATCTAGGGCTACACAGAGAAACTTGAAAAAGAAAAACCAACCCTCCCCCCAAAAGAGAGAGCCCCTTTGTCAATCTGTTTCCTCCCCTTGCTTAGGATCAACCAAATTTGAACCTGAGATGGGTGCTGCTTCCCCGGAGTCAGAGCCGCCACTGTGACTTGTGGGAAAGGGGCAAGAGTTACAAATGACGCAAAGCCAGGTACAGGGACATGTATGTATGAATACTTAATAAATACAATCATTATATATCGTACATAATAGACTTGGAAACTAATAACTTAATTTTTTAAACTTTTGAATTGTGTGCATTTGCACATTTAATTCAGAGGACAATCTTCAGGAGTTGGTTCTCTGGGACCGTGACGAGGGTCCCAGAGACTGCACTCGGGGGTATGCTTGGTGATAAGAGCTTTTACCCATGGAGCCACTCCTCAACCTGAACCAGCCCAGCCCAGCGCTGAGCAGGCCGAGGCCCTGTGCAAGTCACACAGATCGACCTGGAGAGCCCTCTCTCTGCTCCTGAGTCCTCTGGAGGCAGAGGAGCATGGTACATACCTGGCTGGCATAGAAATGCCCAATGATCTTAACAATGACTTGGTCATTCTCATCCGGGGTCTGGTCTCTTGGCACTACCACTTCAGCAGCAGTCAGGTTCTGCAGCTCATTCACCTAGGGGTGGGACAGCCAGGAGCTCAGAGCACCAGCAATGAAATGCACAGGGGCGGAAGGCAACTCAGGGGGAGAATGCTTTGATTAGCGTATACAAGGTCCTGAGTTCAAGATGTAGCACCAAAGGGAAAAAAAAATAAAACCACGGTGGGACTGGAGGGTGGTGAGAGAGGTGAAGGGCACTGGCCTGGAAGTAGAATCAAGTCAATGTACAAATGAGGGCAAAAGTGAGAAGACTAGACCAAAGGGTGGGCTGTAGAGGCCAAGCCTAGAGCCTTCAGCCCTCGGAGCTTACCGTTTTGCCACCTTTGCCGATGACCCGGCCAGCTGCTGAAGCTGGCACGCGTATGTGGGTCTCCAGCTTTACTTCCTCCTTGGGACCAAAGAAATTCTCTTCTTTTAGTTTGCCATAGATTCTTCCCTGGGCCTAGGGAGGAGGCCATGGTTAAAAGCAGTCATGTATTTGGGTGAAAGGCCCTAGGCTCCAGTCCAGCCTTTCCCACCCAAGTGGCCAGAACTCTACCTAGGAGGACCAACCAGCTATTAAGCAGGTGGTTACAATGGTTCCCTGATTACCTGCAATGCTGGAGACCTTCAGATTATGACCCATGAGTAAATGAACAAATATCCCAGCACTGCACAGGCATGAGGATCTGGTCTGCAGATCTGGTTCTGGGCCAGATAGAGTTACCCTGCCCTAACCTCTTCCCACCTCCCTCCTAAAGGAGACCCAAATAAACACAGGTTCTGGGACGACTTGAGATGTGGCAATAACTAACGCATCACAACCGTGAATGGCAAGAACTGACTCTGGGTACCTAGAAAGTACCCTGCCTCACACCTCAGAGATCAAGTGAAGCAGGAGCAGCACAGACATAAAGGAGACAGGGAGCTGCCATCAAATGCCAACACCCCAGATTCCCTTCTTTCTCGCATTCCTGAGTGGGCATGTGGAAGCAAGGAAGGAAGTGGATATGAACAGCTATTAAGCTTTATAGCGCTTTGAAAGCAGCTTTGCAGCTGTTTATCCTGCAGAAAAGACTAGAAGCCATGACAGCCCCAGGATTTTTCCTGCATGTGTCAAGTTCCCAACCTTAGTTACTCTGTATCCATCGTGGAAAATATAAATCAAACCTTGAATTGAGCCTCTGGGGGTCCAGTGATGATAACCATTCGAACTTTGGAGTCAGGTGTTTCCGGTGGAGCTATCTATAAAACACACGGTTGGTCAGATGGGGGTGCTTCCATAGGAAGGCATCCCTACCTCCTCTAGCTCCCTCCCATTGCCCATTCTGAGAAGGGGAGGAGACAGCATGGGCAGCAGGCCAGAAGGACCTGCCTCAGAGATGCTTCCTCAGTAGGACTTCTCAGCCAGCAGCCCCTCTGAGGCTCTTAGCAGAGGGCTGCAAAGAGGCAGGGAGTCATGTGATGACTAGGTAGGAGAAGAATAGTGGTTACACCTCTTTTAGGGCCCGGGGGGGGGGGGAGGGGGGGGGAGGGACACAAAGCTTTAAATGCCATTAAATGAAACCCATGAATCTGGACGTGTGAGATCATCAGCACTGGTTTCCTGATGAGAATCCCCTCGCTCTCCTGGATCCTGGATGCAGGACAACCAGCAGACATACACCACCTGCTTCCTACAACCCATACCAGGAAACTGAGACCCACTGGAGTCCAGCAGGGGTGGGGAGATTGGTTTTGAATGGGTCTGGGATGGGATTCACTCTACTTTGTGGCAATTTCAGCCTTCTGTCTATATAATACCATCTCTCATGTAGCCTGCAAACCTCAAGTACTGAAGACACCCACAAGGGACTGGGCTTTCATTCCCCCAAAGTGTGAAGGGAGCTGGAGTCCATACTAGTCTCAGAAGAACTCAGAGCAAATCACCTTGATAGAGGCACTGGCGAACCGCGAGAGCTGTTTGATGTGCTGTCCCTTCTTGCCGATGATGGCACCCACAGCCTGGGCGGGGATGAACACCTGTACCATCTCCTGCTCGGGAGCCTGCTGCCAGGACAGAGGAATCCTTACCAAAGGACCAGGGAGTGGAGCGAGGCAGGACCCAGGAGTCCCTCCACCCTCCACAGTGGGTAGCCAGCTGCACCCTGGGCCACAGAAAGATAGCATGAACTCTTTTTAGCTCTCTTCCAGCTAAGGGGAAGAAAAAAAATCAAGTGGAAAGCTGTCACCACTTGGCTGGACTACTTTCCTTCTGGCTCCTATACTGGCTACAAAGGTCATCTTGTAGATGTTCCAAACCCCCACACTCCCATGGGTCCCCGGCAATAAATCCTTTCACCTACCATGAAGGAGCTATAGGGAGCAGCCCCGGTGACGCTGCTGGGAGGTGGTGGGACGGCACTGGACGAGGCTGGGAAGAGACCTACAGCAGCCAGGTTGAGACCAGGGATGAGGTGGGACTGCAACTGGAGAGAGGGGAGGCATAGGTCACATATCCACAGCTACATGACCTTATCCAGAGTACACCTGCTCTCCGAGGACAACTTCCCGAGGGGCCTGCTGGGCCCTGGTAGTGGCTCTGGCTAACTTACAAGAGCCAGCATGACCAGAGCAAATCAGCTCCCCATTGGAGTTATTTGCTTTTGTACAAAAACCTGCTCGGCACTGTGGTTTCTCTTGAGCCATGGAGATATCCTCGCTGGACCATACTGGAATGTTTATGCAGGAAGACAACCAGCAGGCTCCCTAGTTATTTCTGCCACATTAAAGGAAACAAAGAAGGCTTATACCTGAGAATGTGATGCCCCTCCATGAAAAGCTGGGACAACTTTCCCTTTGATTCCTGGGGCCCAAGTAGTTCTGAGCCTTTCTGCTAAGTATATCATCCCTAGTTTCCTTTAAAAGACCAAGATGGGGCTGGGCATGGTGAAAATAAAATCCCAGCCTTGGGAGACAGGCATATATCTCTGCGAGTTAGAGGCTAGCTCTATTATCAAGTTCCAAGGCAGCCTGAGCTACACACTTAGACCGTGTCTGAAACAAGACGAGATGGTGACAAGCAAAATCAGATCACAGGGACAGGGAGATGGCTTGTGCCTAAGAGCACCGAGGACAGAGTGGGAATCCCAGCACCCATGGAAATGATCCTATCTGTAGCTAGCCCAGTGGGGTTTGGGGGACAGAGACAGGACTGCTGGGTCTTGTTGTCAGTTAATTCCAGGTTTGTAAATGACAGTGTGTGAATAGAATGAAGGGATGAGCGATAGAGCAGAACACCTCATTTCCTCCTCAGCCCCCCCCCCCCCACAAACAAAATAAAAAAATAAAAATCCTATGAGCTGGGTGTGGTGGTATATGCCAGTAAACTCAGCACTTGGTAGGTCAAGGTAAGAGAACTGAATTCAATTCTAGCATACATAGTTAAGGCCTGTCTCAAGGGGAAAAAAAAGATTGAAATTATGACCCTTCTGTCTACTACGGTACACAACTTTTACTGGAAAAGGATCACAGTATCTAGATCAGATTGGCTAAGGTATAGAAATTCATGAAACCTAAGATTATGCCTTCAACCCCACTGCAGGAGGTAGATGAGCCCTGTTGAGTAAATACAGCTACCCACTTCCGGCAGCAAAGTGTCTACCTACAATGTACAAGATTTGATCTCCAGCACCACCACTGCCACCAAAACAGAGATGTGTATGATATGAGTAAGTCTAAAAGCACAAACTGAGGGGCTGGAAAGGTGCCCCAGTGGCTAAAGGCACTGGCTACTCTCCCAAAGGACCCAGGTTCAATTCCAAGCACCCACATGGTGGTTCACAACCATTTGTAATTCCTCTTCACCAGGGAATCTGATATCCTCTTCTGGCCTTGGTGGGCACCTGGGATGCACATAGTGTCCTGACATACATGTAGGAAAAACAGGTATAAGAAAGTGCTGCTGCCCTTGCTGAGTTCAGAGAAGGGACTGAAGAGGGGACAGGGATGTAGTTTGGAGGTACGGCTTTTGCCCATCTCCTGGGCTGACATTCAACTCCCAGCAACAAAGACAGGAAGATGCCCCTTCTCACTCACACTCATGGCCGCTACATCGTTCTCGTAGGCCTCTCGAACTTTCTTCATGATCTCTTGCTCAGCCCTGCAGCAGTTCTCAATGGCCCCCTTCACAGTGATGGTCCTCTCAGGGTTATACAGGGTGAGATCCTGGAGCCTGGCAGGAGAGCAGGGCAATGTTAAGCAGTGAGCACTGCAGGACTAGGAGCAGCCGAGTTACAGGGCCAGCACTCCTAAAGGTTATCCAGCTTATCTCCAGCCTCAGGTAGCTGGGGCAAGGACTGGACAACCAAGAACAAAACCTTCTGTGGCAGGTGCGGTCCCCAGACACGCAGGTTGGCTGCAGGTGGCCCCTGGTGCTCTTCTGCAGAAGAGGTGCCCTACAGACAGGTCAGTTTCTAAAGGATGGAGAGGCAGGATGCTTACAAATAGCTAGCCCGTGCCTTTTACCGGTTCTCCGGAGAAAGACCAGCGCACCCACCGTAAAAAGGACCAAGGTTTGTGTACCACACACAGTGGCAGATACCTAAAGCCCACACCCTAGCTGCAGGCTTTCCTGGAGATGCCCTGGGGTAGACTGTGCCAAGAGGAGGGGTGCTCCAACCCTTGAGAGGTAGATAAGGATCCCATTCCATCTTCGATTTGCCTTAGGCCAGCAGAAGCAGTGCCCAATTTAAAAGGCTCAGTGACAAAACTCTCTGGTAGCCCAGGCCTTGTGCTCCCGCCTCTGAGAAGGGAGCCAGTGGAGCCTTACGATGAGATGGTGATCTTTGTCTCTGTGTCTTGCTCCACCTTCTTCAAGTTCCTGCCTTCCTTGCCAATCAGTCGCCCCACAAAGTTATTATGGGCCAGGATCTTCAGGGGAACCTCATCTGCCCTGGGGAGAAAATGGGGGACAGAAGAGTCAATAACGTCAACAAGGATTCAAACACGATGGGGTCACTCTCAACTGACAAACCCAGGAAGACCCACCAATCAAGTGTCAGAAGACTATAAAACCTAGTAGATCAATGTTCTACAAACAGAGAAATGGTCAGTGAGGATGGACTGTGGAAGGCAGGATGAAGTTTGGTAGCCAAAGCTTTATTTATCTTAACTGTGATCATGGTTTCAACAGGTACTGACATACACAAATCGAAACTCAAACTGCACACCTGAGAAATCACCAAACTGTACATAGGAAAAACAAGTGCAATAGGGTTTGAGAGTTTAGCTCAGTAATTTAGCTGAGCTGTCTACCCCCAAGGTGAAGGGGGCTGAGGGAGCAGCAAGGAAGGGGAAACAATACACGATTAAGCCAGATATGGTGGGGCTGGAGAGATGGCTCAGTGGTTAAGAGCACAGGCTGCTCTTCCAGAGGTCCTGAGTTCAATTCCCAGCAACCACATGGTGGCTCACAACCATCTGTAACGAGATCTGGCGCCCTCTTCTGGAACACAGGCATATATGGAGGCACAAGGTTGTATACGTAATAAAAATAAATAAATAAATAAATCTTTAAAAAAAAAAAAGCCAGATATGGTGGCATGTGCCTACAGTCCCAGCCACTCGAGACTGAGGCTAGAGGATCCACTGAGCCCGGGGAATTCTAGGCTAACCTAGGTAACATGTCTATAAACAAACATTATTGTATTAATTGAATCCAATAAAGCTGTATCAAGAAAATAAGAGAGTTGGATGGAATGGCAAATCCCTTTAATTCAGCACTCAGAAGACAGAGGCAGGCATATACCTGAGTTTGAGGCTAGCCTTCAATCAATCAATCAATCAATCCTAGCACTTGGGAGGCAGAGGCAGGATGTCTGGTCTACAGAGTGAGTTCCAGGACAAGAAACCCTATCTTGAAAAATAACAAAAACAAAAAAAGCCCCAACAATGGAAATATTGTGGTGATGCACAACTATTATTAACAAGACCACAAATCCCAAAGCTGGACTGTGGAAGACCTTATTCTCTATTTTAAGGGGCAGGGAGCGCGCGAGAGAGAAAGCGACAGAGACAGAGAATGTGTGACGATGACTGCATGAACATAAATAGAAACACTGAGCACATAAAATTTCTAGATGATTATTCAAGGAGAAGATCTTATCTCTAGCTTTTGTGTAGTTTGTGACTCTGTATGGCCAATAACAATTACAAGTAGAGGCTGGGGTGTGGCTCAGCAGCCAAGCGTCCGCCTGGCACGTGTGAAGCCTGGGGCTTGGATCTTACGTTTTGGTGTCCTTTGCCTCCTTGTGCATTATCTCCAGGATCATCTTACAGGCCGAGGAGCAGCCTTCAGGAGTTGAATGCACACTGATGGCCTTCTCGGCAGCCCCTGCGTTCTCCTTCCTATGCACGTCTATCCTGAGGACCACAAAAGGAAAGAGCTGGTTAGTTTGTCTCTAATAACACTGACTCCTCGTCTCTTCTCAATCAAAGGCATAGAGAATCCACTTTCAGCTGGGCAGTGGTGGTGCACGCCTTTAATCCCAAAACTTGGGAGGCAGAGGCAGACGATCTTGTGAGTTCGAGGTCAAGGCCAGCCTGGTCTACATTAGCTGGTCCAGGACAGGTTCCCAACCCTATCTTGAAAAACAAAAATGAAAAAAAAAAGAGAGAGGAATTCACTTTCCTTGAATGGTGCCTGTCAAGTATAGAACCAGGAAAGTAAAGATGGAGCCAGGAAATCATGGTCAGGTGTTGTTCTGCCTGCCTCCTTCAGGTGACTGGAGAGGACAATGCAGTCTACCTCACAGCTGTTTTGTGCAAACACTCCCTCAGGTATGTGTGGTAGTGAAGTTCTTTTCCCCTCCTAGTGTCCTTTCACTTTCAAACACTGCATCAGGGAGACACACTGCCCAACTACAAGTAAATGAGTGATTTTCCATGAATACGGACACAACCTGAGCTGTTCTTTCTCATAAGCACCAATCGTCAACAAAGGTAAGGGAAGCAGGTGACCGCACTACAGTGTAAGACAGAAGATTAATTATGACGTATGCCAAAGGGCTGAGACTTTAGCCAAGCTGTGGTCACCATAAGGATGCCTAAGGACTGAGGGACTCAACTCACAGGACTGGATTTCCTGGAGCAGCAACTTGCGATGAGGAATTATGGAACTCTTTCTGTTGTTGAAAGTATATGGACCCATTCCATCTCATTTGCCCAACCTCCAGAGAGGTAATACTGTCAACCCATGTCCCAAGCAACAATTCCCAGGAGAGAGATGCTGATGCTCCAATCAGCTGCTTTCCTGGGCCTTCCCAGTACTCACTTGGACTGAGTCTGTTTTGTAATGTTGCGGATGGTGGCGCCCTCCTTGCCAATGATAGCGCCTACGTACTGCGTGGGCACCAAGAGTCGGAGGGGGATGTCTACTTGCTGCTGCTTGGCTGGAGCGCCTGTGGCCACAGGTGATCCTTGCCGGGGCTGGCCCCGAGAGCCAAAGCCTCCACGGCGCCCATTCTCAGGACCCTGTGCTATCTGCTCATCGGGTATGTATGAGACTTTCAGGGCATGGTTCTCCAGTTGATGGCCGTTTAGTTTCATAATGGCTCTGGGGACAGAGAGGAAGTTCAGTGGTCACTCCAACCATGTCAATCACATCCAGTGCTTCCTTCCACAAAGAAACTACTTGGTCACAGCGGGGATACACTGGGGACCACACAGAAGATGGGGGAGATAACCCTGTCTGCCACCGCACCGTCTCTAGGCAACCTTCCAGTCTACAAGAGAGAAGATACTAAGGGAAAGTCATCAATACAGCAAGGCTTCACTCATGCTTTTCCATTTAAGACCACTGGACAGGGTTGAGGCAAGAAAAAATAAATTAACAAAATGGGGGGAAACCCCTGTGCCAATCAGAGTTATTATACAGCATGTGGTCTGTCCACTCCAGGGAGTGAGAACTATAAATGCTGATCCTAGAGGGGCTGGAAATTATGGCGGTAGTGATGAGGACTCTTGGGAGGGGATGTTTTCTGGGCTCCTAACCACCCTGCACCACATACTTGATCCAGAAGCAACAACCCACACCTATAATCTCAATGTTCAGGAAATAGAGGGTAGGAAAACCAGACCAGGATAGCCCTTGGCTATGTAATAAGTGAACTGGAGATCATTATCAAAAAATAAACACCTTCGATCCTTCTACCTTTTTTTGAACGAGGCAGTTCCCCCCATAACCAAAAGATGGCACCAGCGACACATACAGAACGCTGCAATCCTGGGTGCCCAGAGATAACCTTCTCCCTAGTCGCCTCCTCCCTCAAGTTGATTTTGAGGGTCAGCTAAACTGGCATCAGAAGCCAGCTGAGGATCCCAGACCACTTAGACCTATCCATGGGGGTCTGAATAGAAGACCCAACTCCAACACCCCTCAGAGACCCCCAGTTCCACTGCAGAGGTACTCACTGCCTGGTCTGCTCCCGGTTGGAGTAGGTGACGTTGACCACTGCCGTCTCACTTTCTGTGTTCACTGTAGAGACAACAGACCACCAGAGTTAGAGTTCTGCCAACAAACTCCAACCTGTTTGTAGCAGTGGACTACCCTGACCTTAGAATATACCCAAAAGACAAGTGAAAATAATCTGCAGGAGACCTTCTCCAGAGACACCGGAAGCCAGGCTAGCCAAGTCTTTCTGATGCAGCAATGGCATTGCAAGGCCAACACCCACCCCACGCTCATTCCCACTCTGAAGGCAAACTTACCTGGGAAGTTCAATTAGCAAAAAGGCAACACCCAGTGGCTGAGGGTAGCCATTTACAGAGGTAACTGTCAAGAAAATGGCCCGAGTCTCCTTCCCTCAATGGCTGAAGAGACTCGGGACTACCTATGTCCACTTTATAAGTTTACATATCCACAAAGACACCTTTCCCAGAGAAGGAATTCCAGGCTCCAGTATTCTAAACACCCTGAGAGTGGACATGGGACACACTGGGCCACCATAGTTCTGGGTCATAAGAAAGAATCCCACCCACCCAAGAGCTTGGATTTGTTGATTATCTTTTTTTTTTTTTAATTAATTTTGTGTTACTGGAAGTTGAACCCTTACACATTGACCTACACCCTCAACCTTTGACTTTGTGAAACAATGTCTTACTCAATAGCTCAGGCTGGCTTGCAGCTCACTATGTAGCTAAGGCTAACTTTGAATTCACCAGCAGGACTAAAACTAACCCACTTCAGTGATGAGAAGTGCTACTTCATTAAAAAGGAGAGAGAGAACGAGAAAGCAGAAAGATGGGCTCTTTCGGGACTTGGCTGCAAGATGACCAAAAAAAGGAGAAACAACGGTCGTGCCAAAAAGGGCCACGGCCATGTGCAGCCAATTCGCTGCACTAACTGCGCCCGCTGTGTGCCCAAGGACAAGGCCATTAAGAAGTTCGTCATTCGGAACATCGTAGAGGCGGCTGCCAGTCAGGGATATATCCGAAGCAAGTGTCTTCGACGCCTATGTGCTCCCCAAACTCTCTGTCAAGCTGCATTACTGTGTGAGCTGTGCTATTCATAGCAAGGTAGTCAGGAATCGATCCCGGGAAGCTCGGAAGGACCGAACACCCCCACCACGATTTAGACCTGCTGGTGCTGACCACGACCTCCACCAAAACCCATGTAAAGTGGCTTCATAAAGATAGAAGAAAACACCTTGGAAAAATAAAATGGAACTTAAACTTTAAAAAGAGACTGATAAAGAAGACTTTGTTGGGGCTGGAGAGATGGCTCAGCAGTTAAGAGTACAGGCTGCTCTTCCAGAGGTCCTGAGTTCAACCACATGATGGCTCACAACCATCTATAATGAGATCTGGCTCCCTCTTCTGGCCTGCAGGCATACATCCAGACAGAATGTTGTATACATAATAAATAAATATATCTTTTTTTTTTTTAAAAAAAGGCTTTGTTTGTTGGGGCTGGAGAGATGGCTCAGAGGTTAAGAGCATTGCCTGCTCTTCCAAAGGTCCTGAGTTCAATTCCCAGCAACCACATGGTGGCTCACAACCATCTGTAAAGGGGTCTGGTGCCCTCTTCTGGTCTGCAGGCATACACACAGACAGAATATTGTATACATAATAAATAAATAAATACTTAAAAAAAGAAAAAATATATTTAAAAAAAAGGGCTTTGTCTCAAAAGCTACCTCAACGATGGGCTCAGTGGCTAAGAGCCCCCAGGACATGGTTCAATTCCCAGAACCCACACAGTGGTTCTACCCTCTTCAGACATTGCACACACATAGTGCAGATACACAGATGGAGGCAAAACATCCAGACAAAGTCAAAAATAAATAACACTAAAAACAAGGGACTGCCGAGATGGTCAGTGGAACAAAAACAGGCACCCGCTGCCAAGGGTGAGAACCTGAGTCCCATCTCTGGGCCCCAAGTTGTCATCTGACCTCCACAAGGTGCCATGCCATGTATATTATATGCACACACACAAGCACAATAAATGCAAAAAAGAAAAAATAAGGGGCTCTTATCTGATAAGGAGAACCAAGCAGTTAAGAGCACTTGCTCCCCTCTTAGAGCTTCAGTCCCAGCTCATTCCCTCCTGGCTCCAGGAGGCAGAGGCAGGTATATCTATGTTTTCAAGTCCAGCCTGGTCTACATGCAAGTTCCAGGCCAGCCAAAGCTACATAGTGTGACCCTGTCTCAGATAAACTAAAATAAGTAAATAAAACTTTTAAAAAATTTAAAAAATTGACAATTGAAGCTGAGCATGGCCATGCACGCCTGCAATTCCAGCACTCAGAAGGCTGAGGCAGGAATACTGACTGTCATGATTCAAGACCAGCCTTTGCTACACTGTAAAATAGCCCAGCCTGGGCTACAGAGAGACAGTCTTTCTCAAATAAACCAGTAGCTGAGATTTAAAGCTGGTGCAGCAGGATGCACTAGTAATCGCAGCAAACTGAGAAGATAAGGGTGGCCGATCTCCTGGGCAGCTGGGGCCAGTAGTGAACATGAGGCCAGCCAGGACTACATAGAAGGCTCTGCCTTAAAAAGAAACCATACATTTGAGCTATGTGTGGGTGGTGCAGACCTGCAGTCCCTAAACAGAATCGTGTCTAAGGCCAGCTTGGGCTGGTGAGAGCCTAGAGCAGATCTGTGGGATCCTTTTAACTATTTTAAATTAGTGTGTGCATGCATGCGTGCGTGCGTGTGTGTGTTCAGATGTGGAGGTCAGAGGGAGTCAGCTCTCTCAATCAGTCATGTGGGTTCCAGGGACAGATTAAGGTGTCAACCTGAAGGAGCCTATTCCTTTCAGCGGCAGCTGGCTGCCTGCTCAGTGTGGCCCCCAGGTGTGTCTAACTCAGGAGTTCAGTTGGAAGCAGGACTGGGCAATAGCTCTCAGCGAATCCCACTACGTTCTGGCATTAGACAAGTCAGAGGATTAGAGCAGAGAAAACGGCACTTCACTGCTGAGCAGGCCATTCCTGTGATCATCTGTCAGCACACACAGCTTGTCCCTTCCCACAAAGAATTTAGAAATGAATATTTCTACCCCAGACAGAGCAATCTTAAATTCCTTAAAGATTTCCAAAAGTGGGCTGCAGCACTAGTCCCAAGAAAGAGATGCAGCAACCTAACGCAGCCACAGGGGGCACCGCTCACGCACGCTCCCTGACCCCACAGACTGGTCATAAAAACTCAAATCCCGTCATCTGTGGCTAGATTAAATTAAACAAGCCAGGTTCTAAAGGACAAGTCACCATACACTCTCAGGAATGTGAAGGCAGACGGGGAGAATGGAAAGGAAAGGGAAGGGAAGGAGGAGGAGGGGAAATGGGAAAGATAAAAATACTGGGAGGAGGAAAGGTGATCCCATTGAACTTGAGAATAGAAGGTGGGGGAGTAACAGGGAAGGGAGGCCTGGGGAGGGGCTGACTGATGGACAGGAGACACAGTCCAGGATGATTCTGCATCTTCTCAAAGAAATGACAAAGTGAGGAGACTCATGCTTCACTGACTTAAGCAGAACATGCTACACACACATCACATGGCACCCATTAACATGCGATGCTCTTACGTGTCTAACACAACCCTATGTGCAACCAAACATCACAAGCCCATTTTCTCCGCAAGAGGTTACACGCCTAGAAACAGAGGACCCTCAAAATCACAGCTAATTTGTATGGCCTAGAATTCCTATTACTCTTCCCTCTGTGGGCACATCTGTCAAAAGATTTTGCCTACACAAACTATTAGTGAATAAACCCTGTTTGTTTGGGGGGTAAGGGTCAGAGTTTTTTTTGTTTGTTTGTTTTTTTGTTTCTCTGGATAGCCATAGCTGTCTTGGAACTCACTCTATAGAAACTCAGAGATCAGCCTGCTTCTGCTTCCCGGGTGCTGGGATTAAGGTTGTGCGCCACCAGCCACCACTGCCCAGTTGATGTAAGGACTTTTCAACCAACTTTTCAGTTCCTCTGGAAGTGGAATTAGATCACTATGGGCTGCCTTTGGGTGCTGGAAATCAAAGCTGGGTCCTCTAGAACGGCAGCCAGTGCTCTTAGTCATTTAACCATCTCTCCAGCACTCTCCCCAACTCCCTGCCCAAGCTCCTTTTATTTTATGCTGCTTTGCCAAGACAGAGCCTCTCTGTGTAGCCCTAGTTGTCTTGGATCTCACTCTGTAAACCAGGCTACACTCAGGAAAGTTTTGGATCCAGCAGGGATTAAAAGTGTATACTACCACACCCAGGAATTTTTTTTTTCCTGGTAAAAGTCAGGCGTGGTGGCACATGCCTTTAATCCCAGCATTTGGGAGGCAGAGGTGGGTGGATCTGACCAGACCAGACAACAGAGTTAGTTGGAGGAAGGGAAGAAGGGAAGGGAAGGGAAGGGAAGGGAAGGGAAGGGAAGGGAAGGGAAGGAAAAAGAAAACAAGGTCTCTCTACCTAATCCAGGAGCTTGATAATTAGGGCAAACAGACCTCAAATCCAGAGATTCTCCTGCCCCTGCCTCTCAATAGCTGGGACTAAGTGCACCCAGCCGCTACAAATTCCCGTTCTTAAACTTCTACTGAAATACTGTGATTCCTGTTAGCCTGGGACTTAGACTCAACAAAAAGGGTGATGAAGTCAGGTGTCGTGGTCCACATCTTTAATCCCACACTGAGCAGAAGCGGGCAGATCTGAATTCAAGGCTAGCAAGAGAGAAGAGTCCAGACTGCCTAACACACAGCAGTCCAGTCCCATGGTTCTGCACACAGCAGGGAACGTGCTGGGGCTGGATATCTCCCGTACACCCACTCTGTCTGGATCTTCCCAGTGGATCTGATCACAGAACAGCTTGATGCTGAAGCAATCCAAGTCCTTGCACACTCCCTCATCCCTTAACCCAGTCTTACCTTGTTCACAGTTCTCCACTGTACCGTACTGGGCCAGCAGGCTGTCCAGCACCTGGAGAAGTAGAAGAAGGTTGAGTATCCCAGGGCCCGGACACCCCTTCCCCTAAAGCTCTGGGACACCAGCAGGAACTAGACACTTGGATCGCATTTCGCCTAAGGTTCCAACGCCTTAGACTCCTGCCGATAGCAACCCTAGTGTTTGCAAGAATATCCCTGGCTCTGGGCTAAGGGACTTCGTAAAGCAGACTCAGACTTCTGCCCTCAGGATTCTAAAACTCAGAACACTTCTACCTCCTTAATGCCTCTTGCCCAGAGTGTGAGCACAAATGAGAGACCCCCCCCCCCAACAGCCAGGGCAGACCTCTCTAGTCGCACCCAGCAACTCAGCAGGACACAAGTCCCTGCCCCGTCTCTGCACTCCACCCCACTGGGCACTTACTTCCCATCGGAGCTGAGGTGGAATATTTCGGATCTGAATTTTCCGACTCCTGAAATGAAAGGAAAAAAAATTAGGAAAATTCCAGATGATTTAGGCCCCCATGACCTGGCAGTCTCTAACTCTTGTCCCAGCTTGCTATCTTACCAAAATCGTAGAACAGTGGTTTCCTCCACAGGGCCAGGGGCTGAACTCAGGCTAGATTCCCCAGCCCTTAACATAGCAACCGAAAGCCGGGCGGTGGTGGTGGCACACGCCTTAAATTCCAACACTCAGGGAGGCAGAGGCAGGTGGATCTCCGTGATTTGAGGCCAGCCTGATCTACAGAGTGAGTTCCAGAACAGGCAGAGATACACAGAGAAACCAGGGTGGGAGTGGGAGGCTGAGGCAGGTAGCTCTCTGAGATCAAGGCCAGCACGATCTTCATAAAAAATTCATCCAATGAGCCGGGCGGTGGTGGCGCACGCCTTCAATTCCCAGCACTGGAGGCAGAGGCAGGTGGATCTTTGTGAGTTCAAGGCCAGCTTGGTCTACAAGAGCTAGTTCCAGGACAGGAACCAAAAGCTACGGAGAAACCCTGTCTCGGAAAAAAAAAAAAAAAAAAATTCATTCAATGATAGCCAAAGTATACAGTGAAACCCCAGCTCAGGTAAACCAAACCAAACCAAAAAGAATAGCAACCCAATAGGAATGCAGACTTTAGAGCGGGGGAGGCCTCATTTTACAGCTCAACTACTAGTATGGGGAGGAACATATGAGGTTGTGGCGTTTGCTATAGCTTAGCTTTCCCATGTAGTGTCCAGCACTACGGCAAAGTCACAGGGCTGGAAAAATGGTGCGGGGAACTCTTACAGGACCCGAGTTTGATCCCTAATGGGCATGTGAGGCGGCTAACGACTGCTTGGCACTCCAGCTCCAGGAAATCCAACGCCTTGGCCACCTCAGGCACCCAACTCACAGGAATATACCCACACATAAATAGTAAAATAATAAATAAATCTCAAGACAAGTAAGACTAACTAATTCAACAGTCTTTCACTGGCACCTACCTCAAGCTCTACTTTGCTCCTGAGGTTGGGGTTGTGGGATGAAAAGAAGGTTTGGAATGCCTGGCCCAGGTGCTCACCCCGGATTAGGGGAAACAATATATGCCAACAATTACAGAAGATAATAGTACAGTGGGTAAGCCCTTGGCACAGCGAGGGATCTAAACCACTTATTAGCACGGATCTTTAGAAGATTATTTAACTTCTTTGAGGCCCCGTCTCCCCTTTTGTACAACAGGGATAATACCTATTCACAGGTGGGAGGTGGCATTAGATAATATTTGGAAGGACTTGGAGTAAGTCCTTAAACTGTAACAATAGATCTATCTAGGAGCAGAGAAGTCTCCAGAGTGATCAACACGAGCCTTCCAGAGTGATCAACACGAGCCTGAAACCACACCTTCTCTGCCCAGTCACTACACTATTCTTACTCCATCCCAGCTTTCAAAGCGCTCTGAAAAGGAAATATTTCCCGTGAGGATCACTTTCAGGTTCAGGGCTAACTCCCAGAGCAACTGCTCACCACCCAAATCAATACCTTAATCCGGGAGTTTAAAACATTTCAATTGACTTGATGTGTTAGTCAATTGTCATTTAGATCTGTGTATCTTTGATCCTGCACAAGCCCTTAGTTCAAAGACAAAGTTTAGGGGTTGGATAGGCGGCTTGGCAGCTAACAGCTAAATGCTTTTCTAGAAGAGCAGGGTTTAAGTGCCAGCACACACATGACGTGTCAGAACCCCTGTAACTGGAGGGGAATCAGAGGCCCTCTTTTGGTCTCCATGGGCACTGCATATACATGCAGGCAAAACAGTTATGTACGCTAATATAAAATAAAGATTTAAGTCACTTGATGGCAGGCCTCAGTGACCTACCAGATGAGCTACTATCCAGTTTGGGGAGGGGGAGGCAGAGAAAACGAATGCTATGTCCTAACTGGATGCATTGGCCTTGGCTGTCCCAGGCCAGTACCTTTACGAAGGCAGAGTCTAGTCTCAGGGAAATAAAATACAGGGTCTCTGTTACCCCTTCTAGTCTGAAATTCTGCCAATGACAAGTCTTTATATATGAGCCACAGCAAGGACATTCTGGGATGAAATAGTTAAATGAGCTGGGCAGTGGTGGTGAATGCCTTTAATCCAGCAAGGCAGGATCTCTGAGTTTGAGGCCAGCCTGGGCTGCATAGTGAGGTCCAGGACAGCTAAGGTTACACACATACAAAAAGAAAAAAAAAACCCTGTCTCAAAAAACCAAAAGATGGAGAGGAAAGACAAGCAGATGTAACTCAGTGGGGACAGTATTCCCCAGTAAGCACAAGCCCTGAATTCAAGTTTCGGTACAGAATGGTAAGCATGGTGCCAATGCCTGTAATCCCAGCACCCAAACACACACACACAGAGTCATCAAACTAATTTCTGAGTCCTTAGACTTCAACCCATCAGGAGCCAGGTCCAAGGACTAGCCAAAAAGAAGTTGTAGATATCCCTCATAAGAGATTTTCACAAAACACATGATGACCAAAAAGACACACTGACTTGGTGAAGAGTCTGGGAAAAGAAATGAACACTGCCTTGGTCTAAAGGCGGAATGGTCCATCCCAGGGCACCTCCTTCCAGCAAATCCTTTTGGATGGAGAGCATAGTATAAGTGCTAACAGTCCAAGTAATAAGGCATAAAGCAAACCTTAGTACAAGAGCCTAGTCTGGAAACAGCCCATTAGTGCACTCCAAGTTCAAGGCCGAAACTTCCCTCTTCAAACTGCTTCAGAGCTTTCTATTCAGGAAAGGAGAGGTGGTAGCAGAGAAATCACTTCTCTGCAAGGATGCTAATCCACGACCAGAAAGCAATGGCAGGCAGATCGGCTGGAATGTCTGGAATGTTTCAGGAGGTGGGGGAGGGCAGGGCCACCCAACCAATGAAAGAAAGACATCCCAGCAGCCTTCCCTCACCCCCCTAGGGCACACACCCCACCCTGAGAACCCACAGTAGGCTTCTCCTAGGCTTCCTTTTCAGCAAAGCCCCCAGCCCTGATTAAAGCAGGAGGGGATGGCCTGGAAGAGCTGAGGCATCCAAGGACCTTTTTCTTCCAAGTCTGGTTTTCCTCTGAGTGTGGGGCTATCTAATTCCTTTCAGGCCCAAACCGCACAGGACAATGCTGAGATCTGTAACCTGAATTCCCGTGCTGACATTACAACCCCCCTGTATAACTCATTATTCCCAAAGAGGGGAGGCCGAGCTGGCTGGTTTAGGTTGTTGTGCTGAGTAGACTCTCAGCTGTTCTCAACCTGTGAGTGGAGACCACTTTGGTGGATCTAACAACCCTTTTCACAGGGGTTGCCTAGCAGCTTTAACAGTAGCAAAATTACAGTTATGAAGTAGCAAGAAAAATAATTTTAAGGTTGGGGTCACCACAACATGAGGAACCGTATTAAAGGGTCACAGCGCTAGGAAAATTGAGAACCATTGGCCTAGAAGAAGCTCCTTCCTGATGTATCCATCGGGTTAAGCACAACCAACTCCCACTTCACATTGGTTTCTCCTGGTAGAAACTAACTCCAGTAAAGCTCTTGTTAGTACTTGAGAGGAGACCAGAAGGCAGGGTGAACAAGCACCACTTGGTGGAAGAGACAGTATTTAAGTTCATTCACAATAATGAGGGAAAAAAATCATATAAAATGGCGACTATCTATGAGCCCCACTGACTCCTCCACCACTGCTTGCCTAAACAACACTGCTCCAACAGACCAGGTGGAGCAGTGTTTATGCCCCACAGGTAAAAAGGCACCACACACACCTGGAGGGCCAAGCCCCATTCCAGCAAGAAGATCTAGGAGAAACTCAGTAACTGCTCCAAGAGTACGAACTGCCAGCAATGGCCATTAAAGGCAATGGCTACACCAGCAAAAAAAAAAAAAAAAAAAAAAGCCGCTTCCTAGGCGCCAACAGCCGGTGGCTTTCACGTCCTCTGCCTGCTCTGACAGGAGTCGGGGATCCAGCACAGGAGGGCAGCTCAATGGACATGTGGAAATTAGGAAAATTCATCTGTAGCGCGCTGCCAAGCCATCCTGGGGATTTGAGGACCAGCAGGGGAGCAGGTCAGGGAGACTCAAGCTTCAGACAGAATGTACCAGGACATCCACACAGTCCACACACTGGGGGTGGGGAGTGCTGAGACTTATGTGCCCGCCAGACCCGTCTATAGGATCCCCCTGCATAGGCTATTGGTGGCTTGTCTGACAACACAGAACCTGAGATTAAAGAGGCTTAAGGAAAATCTTGTCCACATTTCATAACCATCCTATTTCGTGTGGGTTTTGTTGTTGTTGCTTGTTTGTTTGGGTTTTCTGATTTTGAGACAGGGTTTCTCTGTGCAGCCCTGGCTGTCCTGGAACTCACTTGGTAAGACTTTAGGCTGTCCTCAAGTCCAGAGATTTGCTTGCCTGCTTTATGGATTCTAGGCAAGCACTCCACTGAGTTATACCCAGTCTTATCCACCCCTCCTCATGTGAATCTTAACTCTAACTCTGTAGCCCAGGCTGACCTCCAATTTAGAGCAATCTCCCTGCCTCAGCTTCACCTACAGTCCTGAGCCACTATACTATGCTTGTTGTTAATCATATATGCACTGTAGAGTCCGTTTATGTCTATGAGCCTAGCGGTATGTATGTGGGGGGGGGGGGGGGGGCTTACCTTGGAATTGGCTGTAAGCAGCCATGGGGACGCTGGGAACTGAACCTGAGTCCTCTGGATAAACAGTCAGTGTTCTTAACTACTGAACCATCTCCCTAGCCCTAGTGATGAAGTTCTTATTCCCGGCAAAAGTGTCCCTTTCACCCCCATACCCAGAGTGGAAGGCACCCCCTGCAATCAAGTCAATGGCTTGTCCTCCCTAGGGTTAAGGAGTTCCCTTAAACCAAGGCAGAAGTTGAGCCGGGCGGTGGTGGCGCACGCCTTTAATCCCAGCACTCGGGAGGCAGAGGCAGGCAGATCTCTGTGAGTTCGAGAC